TACTTGGTTCAAAGTGTGGAGCCTCTGTATAAGGAGTACAAGCCTCCACCCAGAGACCTCATCCAGATTCCCAAGCCTGTTCTGTACCTGCTGATGGCTGGGGTTGTTGTTGTTGCTGTGGCATATGCTATCGTTGGTCACCTGATCAAAGACCTCATGCTGGATATAACAGGTACTCCAGTCCAATCAGGCTCCTGATTTATAATGTTTCTAACCACTCAGAGTGGTGTTGGGTTGTGGTGCTACATCAGAGAGCAGCTCTGAGCTTATTGTTCTTGCTGCTGACGTACATGTCGTCAAATGAAGTCAGAGAGAAAACTTTCTAGACCAGAAAGCAGATGGAGAGGTGGTTTGTTTTTATGACAGTAAAGCAAGTTGACTGGTGTGAGAAGCAAGGAAGCATTAAAGATGGATGGCATCAACCACCCAAGTCAGCAAACTGGGAAAAATGACAAGATCTGAGGGACGAAGGTTTTAAGATACGATGCTTATGTAGAGGGACTCAGGCTGAGCAGTTTGGAGTTGAGTAGAAGTTAGAACAGCAGGGTGGAAATGGTTTGGACAGAGATGATAAAGATATTAAACCAGGGATGTTGAAGGTAAAGCCACCAGCAGAAAGACAAACTTTGTTGTGTGATAAATGACATCTGTGTTTTTCTGTTTCCCAGACTGTTTGCTGGGCCCAGTGGATGATGATTTAAAACCAGATAGAGAGGTGGTGGGCATTAGCCCACTGCACTTACCACCTGCCCTCAGTCACTCCCATCCAAATGCCTTCCATGTGTGGGACCAAGACGACGTCATCATTCCCATGACGTCATTGAACGAAAGCCCAGGTTCCAGTCCGCTGATGGCCGTCATCCCATACCTACCTGCATTTTTCCCCAGCTCCATGAACAGCCCTACGTCCAATCAGTACATCCCAAAGGAGAGCGAGGCATGAGAGCTAAAGCGAGATGGAGCAGATTTACTTCCAACCGCTCCACTGACTAAGACAAACTCTGAATATGCTCCTGTTCTGTGCTCACATGGAGCCATTTTCAGACAGAGAGGAGAGGAGGCATCGTCTTTATTGTCCCAGTGGAACTACACTAACACACAGGACTACTAGACTGAACACTAGCAACACAGATGCTAATGAAATTAGACAAAGGCAAATAGGCAGAATAAGTATTTTACCCCTTTGTATTCACTACATACAGTAAATTAAGTTCTCAACTTTGAAATAATCACTTATGTCAAGTGATTATTAGTAACAACTACAATAAGATCTATTCAAGTGTAAGCGTTGTGTTTGACTCTTATTTAGCCTGCTTATTAAACAACTGTCAAATAAATTTGACTGTAAGGGTGAGAGTGGTGTTTGCTGACTCATGGCAGAGCCTAAATATACCTCCAGTCTTTAGGAGGATTGGCCTGAACCATCTAACAAGGTGGAGTTAATTCAATTAGTGGAGGTGACCTGTGTGATACTATACTAGGACAAGGTGGAGTTTGATTCCCACTTTCTGTGGAAATGTTCAGGGAGACATGTCTTACAGTGAAGGCTGGACACATGGATGAAATGACCTCAGTTAATGTCATCTCTGACAAAGGGTTGTAAACTGATGGCTTTTGTCTATGGAGCGCTTGTGATCTCTCATTCCCTGCACTCCACATATGCAGATTAAGTAATTAACCCCTCCAAACTGAACATAAGTGTGACATTTTAGTGTGAATGGACTGGTGCACTGTGATTGGCTTCCACAGAGACCATAAAATGGATTAAGCAGTTAGAAAAAAAATTAAATTGGATAAAACATTCAAATCCTTTTGTCCTTTAAAACACTAGTGTTGACAACACACGCTGCACTGCATCAAATTTTATCAAGGCAATTCCAAATATTTTTAAGTCGAATCCAGGAAGGCTTCAGCTGATTCAGTGGAGATTAGAGAAAGAGGATTGAAAAAGCTGCTTAGACTCCAATTCAATGCAATTTCATTACTCTGAGCCACAGAGTTTGATAATCTCAGAGTAGCAGTGGCTCAATCTGGAAGGACGGACGTCAAAGTCAGAGCTTGTGCCGGGATAGGCCGAGACCGACTGGAAATGTACGGAAGAAACATGCTCTGATTAGTGCTTCACTCACAGATCAGCTGTGATTGGCCGACTGTTTATCCTGACCTCCACAACTGCCTGACTGACAACCTGCTGTCTGTCAGTTTAATCCAGTTGTCAGGACAGGCAGATCTAAAAGACAGAACTAAAGTACATGTACAGTCAGGTCTTGCAGCAGTGAACACTCCTTTCGTGTTTTTCTTTTAAACCCTGCAGAACAGTTTGAATTTACTGAAGTCAGCAGAAACACGTTGACCTCATGAGCCCACTGTTCAAAACTCTGAGAAAATAAGGAAATGGTCTGGTCACAAGTCTGTGGTGGAGACACTTGCGTTGCAGAGACACTGGAAAACACAAGACCGTCTTAATACAAACCACATTTATTTTTTTTAGCATACAATACATTTACAAGTTAAATTAATTGATCTCTTAAAAAGTAATCAATGCTTTGAGATATTAACAGAGTTAAAACACAGCATAAAGTGTAACTGCTTTGATCTCAATCACCCCGCAGCAGGACGATCACAGAAGACAACCTCGTCCTCTTTGTTCAGACAAACTGTCTCTGAGGGAGGACAACACGGTACAGTGAGGTACCTTTAGCCTGGAAGAAGGTCACAACCATCTTCTTCTTTGAGACCTCTGCATGGACGAACCCCCCCAGAGTGGAGGCTTCTCCAGTGAAGAACTTCACAGCACCTTTGGGAACGTGGTTCCAGTGACGGATATCTGGGTCCAGGAAGTTACCGGCGCCGCTCACCACGTAGCCTATGCCAGACTCTTCAATGTACTGGAAAGTGATGGAAATTTAATTATTACACCATCACACACTCAACCTAAATATGGACTTGTTGGCCACAACATAATTTATATAGCCCATATGGGTCACATGTGCCACTTTCAGTGCACTAAATTACACATTTGATTTAATATATACAAATGCTTGTGCATTTTTTGGACCGTCTTTATCTACAAATAGGTATTTACTTTAATTGTACATTTATAATTGTAGTTCCAGTAGATAAAGTAACTTCATCCCACAGGTGGCACCCTAAGCAGCTGCCTGTGCGACCTTTGCCAAGAGCAGGCTATGTCCTAGGGGCTCATTCATTTAGGTGTTGTGTTTGTGTACCCTAAACTGACCTGCAGATTGTGGTCATGTCCACAGAGGTAAGCAGTGGCCTTATATTTGATGAGGAGAGGATGAAGTCTCTGCAGCAAACACTTTGTGGGCCCATGTTCTGATACAGACCACACTGGGTAATGGCCCGCCACCAACAGGAAGTCGGCCTTGGAGCGGGCCAGTCTGTCCTGCAGCCAGATCAGCTGACGGTTTGCGTCGACCGCACGCAGGGGGCCTCGAGGCTGCTCGTCCAGGAAGTCATCGGAGTTTCCACACAGCATTATGGTGTCGAGCATGATGATGCTCAAAGTCTTCCCAGTGTTGGGAATACGGAAGTTGAGCTCGTAGTAATAGGACGGGAATTTCCTAAAGATACCAAATAGACTCAAAGTTTCAATTTATTGCCAATGAGGATTTTTTTTATGTTGACTTTTTAGTGCGTCATTACCATCTGTCAGATTTCTTGCTGTAATCAATCTGAGCTTTGACATTCCCAGCATGGTCATGGTTACCAGCCAGCACATACCAGGGAATTCTGAGAGACTTGGCAGTGTACACAGACTCAAAAGTTTCCTGAAGAAAAAGGCAGGAATAATTTAAAAATAATTCAATTTTAATACTTTAAACTGAAGGTAGTCAAATATTTCAAACCTACCTTAAAGCGAGAAGAATCCACACTGTTCACACCTGTGTAGTAGAAGTTGTCGCCGAGGGCCAGAACAAAGTCAGCTCCCATCCGTTCTGCTACCACGCTCATTTCTCCAGCTGTAGCCTTCTGCACCGCGGTGATGTAGGGGGGGTATGGCACTCCACCCCAATCTCCTAGGGCCAGGAACTTGATGGAGGTTCTGTTTTCTTTTAAGGAAACAAAAAACAAACATCTCAGCAGCCAACAGCCTGGAGAGTAAAAAAGATCTAAGAAGTCATTACAGTACTTACTGCCACCTAGGCCCAGGTCCTCAAAGGCTGCAGGGTAACAGGAGGCCACAGAGACAGCAGCAAGAAAGGTGGACATCAGTGTCAGCGCCATCTTCAAAAACACTGAAACAAACAGAGCCTCATCAGCAGCAGAATCAGACGCTCCAGCCGAGGAGAAACTTGTTCTGATAAGACAAAGTGCAGTCAAGAGCAAAAAGCTCAAAGAACAACAATACCAAAGAGAAACCAACCACTAACCACAGCTGTAGAGTCACTTCGTTGCACAGGCCGCTGCTTCCTGTCACCTTCTCTCCACCCCCCTCACTGACCAACAACAACCAACTGTCTCTCAGGCTTTTTAGCTCCACTGGTGACCTGTGATTGGTCACAGCCTGAAGCTCAACCATCCCAGGTGCAGCTAATGGAGGCTAATCACCTCATTTCCACATTTTCCCCCCTCTACTCCTTCTACCCAGGTATACTGCAACAACAACTTATAATATTCCTCCATCTGATCCTATTGGTTGATCCTTTAGGATCCTTAAGAATGCAAGTCAGTATGAATAGAATTAACTTTATTTTCTACAGTTCTAGCAATGACAATTCTTCACTGCAGTCAGCGCTGACTCATTTGTACAGCTGCAAGAAAATACTACACAGTTCAAGTATTTTCAGACAGTAAAATACGTTTGTGCTCCTACAATCAGTAAATCATCATATCATCTGCAAAGAACCTGACCCTCATTTGTCCAACTGTCTTCTGTGTTTTTATTGCATTTTGATTAAGTTAAAACTGTTCTCAGAAACGTTCATCTTCAACAGCGGAAAGATCATCAAACAGAGGTAAATATCAAACAACTCTTTCAACAGAAACACAGCTGTTAGTATGAGTTAATAGTCAAAGAGAAAACACTCACAGCTGATAAATGTCCTCAGGAAGAGACACACTGTCCTCTCAGCTTCTATCCTGCTCTCCTTTTATCAGTTCTCCTGGAGGAGAGGCTACTGGAGGTCGAGTCCTCAAACCAACACACATACACAGTCATGATCATTGCTCACACCCTGACTCAGTCCCCAGACTACAGGGTCACTCGAGCCACATGTGATCCTGGACAGTTATTATAGCTGGTGTCCAGACTCCACTTCTTCCACTTCCGTGTTAATCACTTGTTTTCCTTTTTCAAAAATACTTCAGGGTTATTTAGGAACAAGAGATACAGAATAGTATGTTTTATTTTTTCCACACATTTGTATGGCCAGTGGGATAAAGTGCAGAACACCTCACTGAGCTGTAGCTTTAATATGTTTTGCTTATTTACTTTTATTTTTTGAGAATATTACTGGAGTTTACTTTTATTTTTTGAGAATATTACTATTAGAATATTATTATTTGGAGAAAAAAAAAAGAATCCTGTGATTCTGTAATGTATCTGCTATACTTGACCTAGTTTTCAAATATACACGCTGTAGAAGAGCGTTCTCAAACTATGGTATGTAGACTACACATGGTACTTGGGCTCCCTCTAGTGGTTCAATGGTGGATCTGACAGATCCTGGATTGACTACCTTGGAGATTCCAGGATCCCCCACACCCATAAAAAAAAACAAGTGATAGAAGCAGAGGGAGAAGGATACTGAAGAATCAGTGGAGCGAAGCAGGCGACAGACCCTGACCAAGGTCCTCAACAATGCTCGATCGGTGAAGGGCTGAATTAGAAGCGGTCAACTGGTAGCTTCAGGCTGGGTCAGAGGTTCATGATGTTGGAAAGACCTGAAACATCCAAGAATCAGCCGACACATCACTGTAAACACATCTCTGTGCTGTCACTTGTTTTCTAGAGGTTTGACAAGTCAGCGACTCATTCTTCAAGTCCATGTGACGTGAATTATGGACGAGACCATTGACCGAACCTGAGGGTGCTTCACAACATTCACAGTTACACACAGGTGAGGAATATTTCAGGGTCGACTCCAGTTGAGCTACAGTAACCTCGTTGAGCTGTGACCTGAGCAGACATTTTCAGAATCACTGAGAAGCACAAACAAAAAAGAAAATACTGACATCCATACATCTTAGTAAAAATTAAACAATGCATGCTTACAAAGTCCAGCTTTAGACTCATTTATTTAACAAGTTTAGATGTGACATAAATAACCAACTAGTCCTTATAAACAAGCAGAATCAAGTCAAGGAAGTGAAGTAAAACGAGAGCTACTAAAATAAAAATACACCAGAATCCAAGGAGATGAGAGAGAGAGATGAGGCAGACATGCCTGTTTTATGCTACACACAGAAACACGGACACATTTATCTTTGCAGGTCTTTTAAAATCACTGTTATCAGTCAGTTGTCAGTTTACATTTCAGCCAAGACTAAAATTCTGATTAAAAAAATAAATAAAAGAGACTTCTGTGTGCGACGTGACCTTCAGTAATTCATATTGTTGTATCCAGGGGGTGAGTCTTGGTTTTGTCATTGGAAGGTCTGGTACAGGTCATAACCCTGTTGACTCCCCCAGGACGACTGACTCCCCCAGCCTGCTGAAGAAGACAAGGAAAAGTTAGTCCAAAAAAAAAAACCACACAACATTCTACAATGTTACTGAGCACAGAAGACAATTTTCTCCATCAGCATAAGAGTAACGCCAGTAAAACGCCAGTAATCAATAAGTCAGGATCCTCAACAGCTGGGGCATGGACCAGACACAAACTGTGTGACATTTGGTATGAAGTAAAGCATGGACAAATTAGAGTTTTAGTGATGAGCAGTGTGAAACATTTTTGTGTGAAACAGAGATGGAGGTTCCAGCTCCTCCCTCCCTCTCTCACCCACCATAGGTGCTGCTGCTGTTGTTGTTGTTGTTGTTATACGACTGCCCCCCGGTCACTGAGCTGGGGTAAGCCGTGCTGTACATGGAGTAGTTTCCTCCTTGCCCCTCAGTGGATCCTTGCGTTAGCATCTTCTTTTTCTCGTCTCCGTAGCCGTAGCTGTAGGGACTCTGCTGATCTGCAGGTGGAGGCATCGACTGGTAGCTCTGTGTGGAGCTGGAGGAAGAGGGCGGAGCTGAGTAGGACACGGTGCTGCTGCTGCTCTCTGGGTAGAAGGTGCCATAGCCAACGCTGCTGCCCGAGTCAGGAGCTCCACCTACTTTGGCCGAGTTGTTGGCGTAGAGTTTATCTGAAATACACAAGTAAACAACAATAAAACTGTTAAGTCATTTTAATGTTTTCATCAGGGCTGATAGAGGTCAGAGGTCATAACTTGATGCACATTACTTTATTTACATCCACTCACCTGTGGTTTGCCCCTGGGCCTACAACGTAGAACCAGGAAGTAGTCAAGTTAAGCAACAGTAAAGTTAAGATTACATTAAATGAAAAATTAAAATATTTCAGGGTGAAAACCCATCTGGGGCAGAGCTCTTCTAATACATACTATATGGCCTTTCTTTTAAACACAATCATAACAACCCATAAAGTCCTAACAACAAACCAAACTCCAACAGGATCAGATGAAGACAAAGACATCAAGGGAGACCACCTGTTTGGTGTTAGACACCGTGGATATACATGCCCAAACGTGTGTCCCATCATGCTTTATTACCCTTTTTTCCCCAAATAGTATAAAAGTACAAACAGGACATTTACATTGTACTACAGTACCGCCACCTACAGTAGCAGAGTGTGCAGTGTAATGGTGTGACCACTGACTTCTGACTTCTGCCTACTCCTTACACCTTGATGTGTGATCCATTTTTTAAATTTCAACTGATGTGAACTGTCATGCATTTATATTGATTTTTAACTGATTCACGATGCATTGTTACAGCCCCACTCCTGAGGTCATAAACCACTTCCACACCACATCAGTGTAGGGTGCATCATCACAGTAACACAGCTGAGGAGTGAATACTCACGATAGCCTGTGCCTGAGCTGCTCTCATAGCTGTAGTTTGCTTTTTAAAACAATGGAAAGAATGGATTTCAGCTCAATTCCTCATTAGCTTAATATGTTATGTATGTTACAGTTTGTCTTCTCCTTTAATGACGATTCTTACTGTTGTTATAACTGGGTCCTGCTGAGAACGTTTGTCCCCGGCCCCTGCCACGGCCTCTGTTGGGTCCCCAACCCCGAGTTCCAGAGTCTGAAGGGATTCCCCGGATGGTGCCAAAACCTGGGATGTGCTGCAGACCATTATACAGGTGAAAATGAAATGCCTTCTTAAAAAAGAGGAAGACAGACAAAACACCCATGCAAATATTTGGACACTACCATGTCTGTGTAGGTGAGCTTCTTCTTTGGAAAGCTTTTCGTCACATTTGACGTCAGATTATCCTCAGGAAACAGTTTCTCCAGAGCAGCCAGAGCAGCGTGGGCTTTAGCCTCCTTCTTATTTGAGCCTCTGCCTTTGAACTTCTGTCCATCAACCTCCACCTGGTGGACAGACAGGAGACCAAAGTTTGGTTCTTTTGTGTAAATGCACAGTACATATAATCACATCTCTCTAGTACAGGTACACAAACATATCAATAATATTTTTATTTCAAACATTGAACCATCTCCTAAAGTGAATGTAAGGGAGACCCCTTGTGGACAGAATTATTAGAAAGAAAAAGGGAATCATGTCAGTTTTTCCAATTTCTGAGCCAGAGCACATACTTCACAATAAAAAAAATACCGTGGCAAACCTCCGAACAAAAATGTTCAAAAAATTATATTTAATGAAATCTATTGATTCTCTAATTTCAATTTACTAAAAATTGACTTCGTCTGTTTAGTTAAACATGCCATGATATACTTAGCAGGAATTTAAACAAAAGCCTCTCTTTTAGTTTTAATAGCCATCTGCTGCCAACTAGAGTAGGGATATTTAATTGATTTACCCTGTCTCTAGGTCAATTGGTACCGGGCCACACAGAAAGAATGCAAAACGTATATTATGTCTGTTGTATTTATGATGTCTGAACAATGTTTTATTTTGCTTGTCTCGGTCACATGTCCTACCTACATCCGCTACTTTCTCAAAAAGTGAGAAAATACCAGTTTTTATGCTGGAGGTATCATTTTATTAAAGGCCAGTCTGTGAAAAAAATGTGAAAAAATTCAGACATTTAACCAGTCCATGGCGCAAAAAGGTTGGGGACCGCTGCTACAGATAAAAACAATTTATTTGCTGTAAATTAATGAAATGTAATATTTTTTTGATGATCTCTCACGAAGGTCAAACCCACAGGTTCATTTAGGTCACCGTCAGAAGTTTTGTGTCACATGTGTGTGTGTGTGAAGTCACCTCCATGACGAAACACTTTTCATGAGAACCTCCCGTCTCTGCAGAGAGCTCATACTTCAGACTGCGACGTTTCTCATTCAGCTCCATCACAGGGTTTTTGCCATTCTTGGTTAAAATAGGCCCCTGAGTGACCTTCAAAGACAGGGGGCGTTAGCATCAAAGAACATCAGAGATGTTCTACTTTGGTCAATATTTTTCTTATCTTATCTTTTTTTAACTTCTAATAAGAAGACTAGACAAGAGAATTCAGACGAAGGAAGGTGAACATACTTCTTCTAATGTTGAGGAAGCGGCAGCTGCGTCCCGACTTTTTGCTTCAGCCTTGTCACTAAAGTCAACCTTCGTTTCTGCACCTGTGGAAAGACCAAGATCCTGCAGGACCTGTGGATGAGACGAGTCAGAATTACTGCACATCCAGAAGGGAAGATGGTTTTTACAATGGAATCTGAACAAGGCCACCAGGTGCAGTAGCATGAGCCAAAGTAACCTGTTTTTTTTTCTTAAAAAAAAAACAAAAAACCTGTGGCTTTTCATTTTCAACATTTGCTTTTAATTCTTGAAAAAGGCATCAATGTAGTAAATGTATACAGTGCATGTAGCTAAAACATTAGGACGATACTTGTGTCCAGTTGTAAACACTGGACTGTCTTCTGTATTCTCATGTTAATTCAAATGATTGGCTGTTGGAAAACCAGATATAACACATTTTATACATGCAATATTTTTGTTTATTACTGTAAACAAAACCGACATTTGTACCTTGGTGGCTACGTTGAGTTTGGCGGCTCGTTTTGAAGGTCCAGTGGCCTCGTATGTTTTCCCGTTCAGGTCCACAGCCATGGTGAAGACCGGCTCATGGACAGGACCAGACTGAGAGATGAGCCTGTACTCCAGACCCGGTCTGTACTGGTTCAGACGCATCACTGCATTTATGTTGAAATCTTCAGCGACTACAGAGAAACAAAGTAGTTCACATGAAGAACAAAACAAAGCACTTTTTTTTTTCAATCAATTTCAAATGTTGATATTACTTATTTTTACCAACTAATGTTATAATTATTAAAAAAATATACAAATGTATTGCATGAAATTTTTATTAAAAAAATATACAAATGTATTGCTACCTCTTAGTACAATTACAAGAATGTCCAACAGTTATTGTTGGTGGGGGTGCAGCTATGCACATGAAATTCGACTTCAACAATTTTGTAACAAAGTGTAGATATTGCAGTGATTTGTAATTGAATGTCCTTTCTTCAATATCAGTTTTGTAGAAATTACTTAAAGATGTCCAAGGAACAAAACTCAGAATAATAAATGTCAAAGTACTGTAGCATTCAAAACATCATGCAAAGAAAATGTTATTCTAAATTCTTGGAAGGTGCAACAACAGAATATGTCAGACATTATATTTGCCTTCATGTATTTTCTGTCTGTTCATGTGTAAAAGTCTTTTCTCCATTTCTTTTAACACAGGAATAAAAAGCATTTTCATGGCTTGAACACTAGGTAATCTCACAACTCTAACCCTTCATGACCCATAGGTCTTCATTTCTCCAGGCTGCAGACCAACACTACGTAGTTAAGGAATGATGGAGAACTTGAGGGTTACGCGTCTTCCCCAGGGACAGACAAGTATGCAGCTGGATTCAAACCCAATCCTTCTGTGTGAGAGTTCCAACTTTTTATCTATTGGTTGAAAACTGTCCTAAAAACCTGCACAGGTGTTTTCAGTTTCTGAAAGACCAGAGTTGTTTCTCCTCTTCACACATAATCTGGGGCCAACGACTATAAACAATTCAGCTGTTTGTCGTAGTTCTATTAGCATCAGATACATGCTCAACTACTGACAAAATTATAATCCCACTAAAGTTTGGAACTTTACATCCAGCCATTATGGTTTTAAGACATATTTTAGCTATTATAGCTGTTTTTTTAGCTACTATAAATTCTCAGAAAATCTAAAGCAGCCTAATTAGCTGTACATGTGGCTTAAAAAAAAAATCACATAAATGTATATGTGCAGAGGAAGAATAAAGAGTTGATAATGTGAATCTCATCTGCCCGTGTTCCCATCCAAAGTGAATAAAAGCGAATCATTCCACAGAAAAAAAAGAGACTCCGTCTGTGTAACAAGGTCTCTGATGGTTTTTACTGACATGATTTCCTTCCTTTCTGGAACTTGGCAAACTTCCTCTGCTTGGGGGGCTGCTGGGCCAGTTCGCCTGGGTCTGAGTCAGAGTAAGCTCTTTTGGCTGGGAGGTTGATGGATGCAGCAGGAGGTATCTGGGCTGCAAGACACAAGACAAATGCAAGCCTTTATCATCAGCAAGCTAAATAGTTCCTGAAGCACAGGAATGGGAGATGGTCTGCAGACTGTCAATGGTACCTGTATCCACTTTGCTATTGCCTCCAAGCAACCTGCGTGGTTTCACAGGTATGTAGTCCCGTCCCACCACCTTGTGCATTTGACCAAATGCACACAGCCTCAGGGCAAACTGAGAAACGCATAAAACTGTTGGATGCATTTCAAGGGTTGAGAAATAATGGGGTTCTGGTTCTGGTCAACTTCATGTTACCTGAGCGCTCTGTGTGATGTCTTCACGTTGCTGTACAGTTAAAATATCAGCAGCATCGACTGGTTCCTTTTCACACGGGTCTTTGAGTCCGGGTCCATCTGTGCACACACGGACAAGGTCACCTGGTTAAGTTCAGTTTACCACTGGTTGAAAGTATCTGTGCTTGTGGAGTTCACCTTTTAAAAGAATCCCAGAAGCGACACATTCAAACACTCTGCGGAGGGCCTCGCTGGCTCCCAGTGGCCGCTCATAGGTCGCGATGGTCTTCTCCACCAGCAGTTCAAGAGGCTGTGAACACAGAAGAGCAGAGCACATGTAGACTGCAGGTCAAAGAGCTGCAACATCGGCACAGCAAGAAAAATTTGCTTCACTGCTCAGTGTGTACATGTACATACACACACACACACACACAAAGAAATGTGTTCTCTGTATTTAACCCTTCGCTTGGTGAGATGGGAGCACTGGACACTTTCAGGATGTGGAATATTAGAATTGCTGTTGTCAGTTATTGAATGTGTTAATGCACTGAGTTAAATAACTGTAGACAGGTTGAAGGTCAAATCCATCCTAAGTCTGAATTCAAGGTCAGACTCAAGAACCAATGTTCACATCTGGCTTTAAAAGGCATGTTGGACGTATCTACAGTGAGAACACATGATTGGACCGAGCATCGTCTGATCATCAGATGTGAGGCTGGAACCGGAGAGGTTGAAATTGAGCATGTGTTTGGATCCCTCAGGACAGTTATAAAAACCCAGTCTGAATGATATGGAGATGAGGCCATAGAATGGTACCGATTCCTTACCCATCCTGAGATTGGAGACCAGGTGGGAACTCGATTACACAAGTCTCTCATGAGACGGATAACAATCACCGCAGATGTCAGCTCGCTGACTTTAGCCTGGAGAAAACAAACAAACAGTCAATTGAGAGGAGTCGCTGCCACTGCCGTAACCTGACGTCTGTGACTTCAGGGTTTTCATAAGAAGAACCCAGTGTGAGGTTAGCAAAACAAGGTCAGATGAACCCAGCCATCTCCAAATCAACAAATGTTGAAGCTGATATACGAGATGAATTAAACATCTGTGTCTACATTTTATTAAAGGAAATGACACGCTGTGTCAACACCAATGATTTATCCAACTCTGTCATTGGTATGAAGCAGCAGGTCTCTCTAACTTTCTGCAAAAACCTTTGGACATTTTTGGTTCTTAAATCTAAAACAGTTTAAAACTGTTACCATGTTGTTAAATGAAGGAAGAGTTAGAGTAGATGACTTAAAAAGGAACACTTCAACCTTATGTACAAATAAGGACGTGAATGCAAACCTGGAACCACTTGGCGTGGCGGAGAGACGCCAAGGCAGTTAGGCATTTCTGCCTGTCCAGAACGTCCGGCGGATCGTTGACTGTTCGCGTTTCTATTGACGAGGTGGAGTAAGAAGACAAAGGTACAGTTTGACCAAGGGGGTTCGCCTCTGTCTTGCAGCTCAGGGAGAAGCAGATTCCCACAAACCACCAGCAGCAGGGAAAAGGGTGGAGGAGAGGCCTGATAAACTGAGGGTTAAACTTGGCTTCAGACAAAACCAGCCCACAGCCCCCTGTCACCAACTACAGTTGATCCACCACAGTGAAGCCAAAAAGACAACATTTAAGATGTCAAAGGAGCCCCCCCCCTTTCCCATAGCTGCTCAGGTTTGGGTTGGCTGCTGACCCCCCTCCTGAGACAGTGTGTCCAGTTGGTCAAAGGTCCAGCGTTCCTAAACAAACTTGACAAACTAAAAGGCAGTCAGTTGTAAATCACAAGCATTGACAGAACCTACACGTCTGCTCCGAGCTGCAGCAAAATTGATGGATTCCCTTTAAAACAGTTTATATTAAATTAAATGTAAGAGTGAAGACTTGGAGCCATACCAGCTTTGTGCAAGTTTAAAGGTAATTTAAAGATTACAGAAGTAGTTCTGTTGTCCTATTTAAAAAAAAAAAAATATATATACACACACACAGCAGTTAGAGATACGAATATCCGACTTATGAATATCCATAGATAAGAACAACTGTCCATAAATGTTTAGTATTTTAAACTGCGCGCACCACTCCGTACTCCAACACTCATCTCCCTCATCTCGCCCACTTTGTTCTTGCACGTGTATCTGTGAGCATCTCAGCACGTTACGCTTCGTACCCTGTTGGATACTTCACCGTTTCCGTACAGGTTAACCTGATGACAACTCTGAATTCTCACAACAATAACTCCTTCCTCTTCCTCCTCCTCCTCCTCCCCCTGCCCCGTGTACATATGCACACTGACTTCACTCTAAGTTACAGTACGGTACTACAGTATTTATTTCTTTTCTTTTTTTATTATATACTGTATAATCATGTTTATGTGTAGTTTTTATGTCCTGTAATTGTTTCTGGTAAATCTTTCTTATTTAGAGTAGTAATGGCATTTAAATGACCTCTCTCTCTCTCTCTCTCTCTATATATATATATACACATACATACATATAAATTATATGTTTATACACATATATATAAATACATATGTATATACACATATATATACATACATTAAGCTGCTTCTTTTCTAAACTGGACACTGTTCCTTTAACTGCCTCCAAAACAATCCCCACTTGACCTGAACTCTTAGGCAACTACAGGGTCACATGTCTGACCCCAACATTCATTACTGAACAGCTGGTTTATATGTAATCGATACGGTGCTCATGAAAAATATGAATGTAGTGACGACTAATGACCTTTGTGGTCTTAGATCCCCTGAACCTGAGGTTAACTATCAGACCACTCTAGACTGAAGTCCTGATCCTGACTTAATCTCGACTTCAGCCATGGTGTCAGGTGTCAAATGAATGCACCCGGGCTGGTATGGCTGTGTGTGTGCAGCATTAGCACCCTACCACCTAACACCAGGAGCTTGTCATTCTGTCCACATACGTACATGTGTCTGCTGATCAGTTTTGCTGCAGCCGGTGCCAACTGTACATGTTCAGCACCAAGTACATGCATTGCGCGCATTAACTTGTTATTCTTCAATAAAAGCTCTAACTTCCAAACATGAAAACAACTCCACAGGAAGAGACAACGTTGGTTTTTGGTTTTTTTTGGACTGAGACAGTGTTATTAACAACATCAGCGACTACAGGGTGAATTGGTTTCTGGCAAACGCCAAGTGTTGATCGATAAACAACGACAGGACTCACGAGCGAGTAAAGAGCCAACATTCATTGGCTGTTCACTGGCTTTGGTCTGGGACAGTCACAGCACAGACTCCACTGAGGTTTCACACATTGTTGCAGATGTTCTGATGTTTTCTGATCAGTGAAGCAGTGTTGTGTCTGTGGACTGAAGACACACAGATCAGTGTCATGGAAGCTGAGCTTGAAGAAACATCTCTACCTTCTTCAGTGGTTTCACTGTCTGGATCTATCCTGACAACAGGTGAGGTCAGATGGACAGTCAGGGTCAGGACTGGCTGCTTTGTTTTTGTCACAATAACTGCTGCATCCTCGGCTCGATGGCTGACTGTGTACATTCCGGCAGCGGTCGTCTGTTAAAACGAGGAATAACATAACACAACACATGAGAAATGGAAAGATAGATTTTTTTCATAACTAAAAATAATTCAAAATACTTCTTGTACCTCTAACTGTGCTGAGAGCTTTTCAGCCACTTCTGAAAGTAGTGTGACGGTGGGCTTGTTGGAACTGAGCAGCACCAGCTCCAGGTCCTTGTCTCCCTTGAGCAGGAGCCCTTTAGCCACCAGTCCAACACGCATGACACCACGCAAGGCAGACTCTTTGGAATCAGCACTTTGTAAATTTCAATAATAAAAAGAAACATGGGCTAAGGTTAGACTTAGGACCTTTTGTTTTTTTTGCAAGAACACTGAACGTACAGAAAAGTCAGTGTGAAAAGTGAGCAGTAAAGTGAAAAACAGGCAGCAGCAATATAAATGTTACTGTTCTATTTCTTCCACACATATACATAACTGTACTTATAATATTAAATATTAATATTAAAATATTTACACAGAACGTTTGCCTACTACTGTATAATCAGACACACTTTGACCAGTCATTGTTCTCACCTCTGTGCCGTGGAATCTTGTTCCTTGTCCGTTGGAATGCCAATCCTGTCAGACACAGTCTTCAGAGCACATTCCACACTGGAGACCATTTCCTGCACTGCCGTCAGCTCTTCAGGGGAGGGGTAAATCTCAGCATGCTTGGCCATCACATGGCGGTCCTTTGGTCCCTTCGGCTCTTTGGGAGCCTCATATTCCTTTATATTTGGAAGAAATAAATCAATGGTAAAGCTTTTCAGTCATTGTTGTATTTAGGCTTCAGACTAGTGATCTACAGTCTGTGAGAACTGCATTTACCCCCATGGCAACCACCACCACCTGCTAGGACAGAAACTGAGGCTTGTGGATAAGCAAATATCAAATACATTTACTTCCGGCAAAGCCAATACATTTCTCTTATTTACAAAATAAATAAGTTGCCAGTGATTGTGACCCTGCAAAGGAATAAGCAGCAGAGAATGGATGGATGTTACAGACAGTGTTTCCTGGCACAAATGACCAATTATAAAATGGAAATAACTTGAATTACATAAGTGATATTACCTCGGACTTGGAGCTATTCAAGCAATGTTTTACATCTGCATAATTCCACATGCCAGTGTGTCAGCCAGTGAGTGATAAAAATATATTTTAAAAAATCATCTAGTTTCTACTCAATTTTGCAAATAAAGAATATACGTACCTCATGTAGTCGCTGACCCTCGATCACTTCCACAGCAGCAATGTAGTCATGGTACTGTCGCAGTTCCTCCTCGTAGCACAAACAGTCATACCAGTAACGCAGCTCCTCGTACCTGGCCAACAGAAGGATCTTGTTTTAGCTCCATTTCTTTTTTAAAAATAATTCAGATAGTCTTTCCTCTTTACTCATCATCTGAATCTTCATTTTTAGCCAACATTTTTCAGTCTTTTATTTTAATTTGTATTTCTTTTAGTGGATATGGGCTCAAGTGGGACAGTGGAAGAGCTCCAACCAGTCATAAGAAGGCTACAGGTTCGACAACCGAGTCCCCAAATATCAGGTTGGGTTGCACCAGAAAGGACATTCTTAGTATAAATCTGTAGTGTGTCTAGTGAAACTCTTTTGTGAGCATTTTTACCTTGACATCTACATGTTTTTGCCTAATGTTTACAATTTATCCTGACATTTGCCTTCAGTTTATATGACGTGTGGCTGTAATATGGGCAACTTGTGCGTCAGTGTATGTGAATTTTTATTTTTATCAACGTTAAATGTAAACAAATAGTGTACCTGTCAAAATCGTGCGGCAGCAGTCTGTGTCCTCGCTGTATCAGACTGTCCCAGTACAGCAGCTCCTCATACGCCTGGTGCTCATCCCACATCGACGCTGCACCAAGCTCCATGCTGTCACGACCTTAGCTCCCGAACTACTGCAACATAAAAATCCCAAACGATATCATTAGATAGTGTAAGGAGTCACACATATATAAAAACGATTCCTGTGTGTATGAAGGCAGAGGATATATGTCCAAGCTAACCCTCCAGTAGCTTTCTGGGCTAACGGTAGCACTTTCCACGGTATCTGTTGCCAAGCTAACGTTAGTCGAATAGCTAATGACACTGAGCTTAATTTCAAACTAGGAAATATAGATTAAACTCACCTTTAAGGAGAAAATAACCCGAACTTGGAGGTTTATGCTAGAGCAGAGACTTTTCCTCTCTCGCACTCAGCGTTTACCCTCTCTTCTACAAATTGCTACCGCCCTCTTTGGTTTCGGAGTATAAACGTTACAATAGACTTTACAATAGAATTGATATGAAGAAAAATAACGGTTAAAAACTATGGAAGTTAAAATTGGACGTAACACGTTTTGAAAACGTACTTAATAGCAGAACTTTGATTTGTAATGAAATTATTTTTAATAAAGCTGTTTATGACATTAATGGGATGTAATGTGATCCTTTTATCTCTTTGACGTGTGATTCAGAACACGGTATAAAATGATGCTACCAAGTGGTAGATAGAACTAAAATTCTGCCTTTCTTCTTTTCTTCCTTGAACTTTTTTATGTTTAATTGCCCTGCCTGCCCCTTCTAACCCCTGTGGGGAATTAAGTTTCTTTAAGTGGAACTCACTTGAATCTTATTTTTGAAATCAAAGGTCCTCTGAGTTCACCAACATTTTAGGGACATGTCTGGTTAAAAAAGAAAGAAAGACACCTTTGAAAAGGTAACCACATATTCTTTAAACAGTTTCTGAGTTTCCAGTCAAATGAATAAAAGCAGTATATATAAATATACATGTATAGTATGTATGCATATGACCACTGACCACTTCTTCATTTCCTGGTGTAGAGAAACAGCATATGGATCTGGAAGGATCTATGGAAGAATATTATATAAAACCACAGCGGGGCAACAGTCAAGTCCATTCTTCCTGCAGCCCAACATGTGTTCTAGCCCCAAAGCCCTCTCCTTCATCTGTGTATCCTCAGCATTTGTTTGAAACCTCAGCGGTGGAGTCGGGCCTCACCACAACCTTTAAATCGAGGCCATTCCGCTGCAGAGAGTGGCTCACGTCTTTGAGACGTGATGTAACGTACCGACCCATATCCCCAGCAGTGCATTGGAGTTGATCTCACGGCCTATAAACATACAATTAAACCCTGACAAACAAATCCTCATCTTTCACAGCACCATGCATGGTTTGTAATGACGGTAATCCCTTCCTCGTATTAGCTGGTAATAAATCCCATAGACAAAAACGGCCTCTTGGGCGGAGTTTGGTGGGGCTGCTGCGTCGATGTATGTCAAAACACTGGACGCCACATTGAACATTCTTTGTGGCCACCGCACATATCTGAGACACACTGACACTTCGATGTAGGTTTACAGTGTTTGCAGCAGTTCAACAACACCACCACCACCACCATCATCATCATCATCATCATCTATATCCTCATCTTCCTCAGCAGCAGCAGGACTGCCTCACACACTCTACCTCTGAACCGTGTTTCAGAGCTGAGCTATTAACTCACTCACCACAGAATTTCTCTGCATAACATCTGTCAGAATGTGGTCTGGGGAGAGCTGCTCGTTGGCGCAGCCTCTATCCACCACGCTGATTCTTTGGAGATGTAATGACACTCGACATTGGCTTCTTTCATCGCTGCAAGTTCATCAAACCAGGCACAATGGCCTGTCTACTGTGTTTGTCTGTTTCTCTTGGAAAATCTGACGTTCTGCATCCACTCTTGGCCATGATGCTTGTCAGTGATGAAACATAATATAACAGCTATGTGAGTGTTTCCTTCACCCTAACCATGACCTGGCAGGTAGACAGCTAAAGAACGCCACCCTGGAGAACATGTTCTCGCAACTTTTTTTCTTTTTGTACAATTTTTATTGCCCTAACCTGCAACAGCAAAATAAAACTATAAGGTGGAGGTAACTGCTGAATTATTTAAATACAGCATTTCATCAGAGAATAGCTCTAAATACTATGCTGTTTCCTTTTGTAAATTGTTTATTTTTGTGAAATTTACTATTAAACTACATCTAATATTTAAATATAAATGTACATAAAAAGAGCTAAAAACCTGTCTTTGGCACCAAACTGTTTTGGGCTGGCCCTGAATGCAGTGTCAGCAGTAATGTAGACTCATCTATCTGTCTGTTGAAAAAGTCACTCTATTCGTTGGACTATATTCCTACCTGTGTGCATCTCGCTGCATGTGTTTTACTGTGCATGAGTTTTTTGAGTTTTGTGGGAGGAAAACTCAGGATCATCACTCACCCTCTGCTGATTGATGGTTTCTCCAGGTTGACAAACGGGAACGAGCTTTTTTCACATGGTTTTTGTATCCCAACTTCAATCCCGACGTTAAAAGAGATTTCATTTCTCTTTAATAACTCTGATGAGTCCAACGACTCATTCATATCCTGACTCAGGTAAAAATGTTCCAGGAGTTTCCTTCCATTCACTCAGCATATTATATCTCTAAGTAACATAGAAAAAACATAAACAAAAACAAACCACTCAGCATATTATATCTCTAAGTAACGTAGAAAAAACATAAAATAAACAAAAACAAATATACATCACTGATTATAGCTCCAAAACAGGTTTAAATAACCAATAATATCAAAAAACAGAACCATAGACAGATGAAAATCTAAAAAAAATCCATCTAATTAAACTCAAAATTCATAAATATAATGAATAAAGTACAGTAGACAAAAATCTCAAACAGAAAGAAAAAGGAAACAAGTATGGCAAGAATTTAATCTGGTCAGAAATGACCTGAACTGAATGTATCACAGATTAGACCAGAAATAACTTTTTAAAATATAATTTTAGATTATTATTTTTGAGGATGTGATAAAAAAATAGCCTAAAATGAATGAAAAAAGACCAGAAGAGTTAATGGCCATGATGTGTGGCTCAACAGTGGCTGATAATGTGTCTACATCTTGAATGGATTCACACAAACCTGGTCAAAATACTTGGAAAGATTTTTTTTCCAGTGGTAACAGGACATGAACTGTAAATGACCGAAAGATTTTTTTTCCAGTGGTAACAGGGCATGAACTGTAAATGACCGAAATAACTGAAGGTTATGTATTTTTTATATTACCTATGATTAAAGTGAAGAAGAATCCTGAGCTGCAGATACACAGGAGCGTTTCTTTACCATAGTCCTCTGGATTCTGTGGGCGGTCTCTGGAATAAGAACAAATCGCTGCAGCTGCGGAGCACGTCAGCGTGGCTGGAAAGACGTGATGCTGGAATGGAAACAGATGACACGGGATGGTGGAAATAAAAGTATGTCAGGGGGGAACTGGACTTCATCTGAAGATAGTCTCATTACAGTCCGACTGCTTGATGAGACACTTGCCTGAGTCAGAGAGCAGATTGATTTAATAAGAGCTGCAGTAAGTCCCTGCCACACAAGACAATGTCCAGCAAGGAGATCCTCCACAAGATACTCAATCCGTATCAGAGGTTTTAATTAGAGATGAATAAAGAAAAACACATGAACAATCTTCAAAAGAAAACTGAAACAAAGTCAGACATTAGCAAGGAGTCAGGGCCAATGTTTTGAGGCAAAAAGTTGAAATGCAAGATTGAAACAAGCTGGAATTAGAATTGAATCATTTTCAACAATTAGCCTGGTAATACAAACAAGTATTATTAAATTAATTCCAAAAATTATTTAAAAGATGCCATGTGACATGGAAACAACCACATATAAGTCAAAAAAGCTATAATTAGCCAATTGGCTAACTAGCCTAATGGCTAAAACTAAAAAGGTTGGCCAAAAAATACCTGAAATTGAGCCCAAAAATATCTTAGATTTAACCAAGAAAAGCCTGGGCAGAAAACCGCTGATACAATTACACTGAAACTTTACTAAAATGCCAAAAAAGAAAAAAAAAGAAGCCACTCTTAATTTAATAATAAGTTCATCCTTACCCTGTACATCTGTATATGACAATGCAGGGACGTCTTAGTTGTAAATAAAATTATAAGAATGTGAAGGATTGTGATTACATGAAAAAACAGACATAATGTAGATTTCATGACGTACACATCACATTGTGTTGTTTTTATTTACATTCAAACCAATTTACAATCAATGCCCTCAGTAAATTGAGGATGCAGTTCAAGTATCAACTTATAAAATTATAAAAGTGTATAAACACACATTGAAGATGTTCAAACCCCACAGTTTCTGGATATAAAGATCCCGTATGAAATACATTCAGCAGAAGATTCAAACGTACAAATGCTCTGCTATGATACTCTGGGGCTCTCTCTAGTGGACACCACCCACATTTGGCTAATGTGAAGAGCAAATCACTGTGCAATGGTTGACATGTTTGAAGCTGGTGGAAACGACATGGACACACACACACAGACACATACACACACATCCTTGACTGATGAGTTTTCTGCCGAGACCATTATAACAAAATGAAACACCTGCTCATTTTAAGTAAACACAGCAATGTGCAAAATCACAGTATTAGCTAGCTTCCACTTGTCAGGTAAACACGGATGGACTGCGAATGGAACATGTTAATGGAAAACGGCATCTTTCAGTCATTTGTTTGACTTTTTTCCCTGCTTTTTTAAAGTCACTGTGGAGGTGGAGCCAATCCCAGCAGTCATCAGGTGATGGCGGGGCTACATCCGGTCAGTTCCCCTGTCCATGAAAGGGTCCCGTACAGCACAAAACCAAACAAACATTCACACTCATATTCACACCTGTTGTTCATTCAGAGTGAACAGTAAACCTAATCTTGCACGTTCTTGGAGAACCTTCGCTGGAAACTGGAGAGAACATATAAACATCACACAGAAATAAAAAAAACATCAGTTACCACTAGGGGTCACACTGGTGACCTTCTTTAGCCACTCCTCCTCCATGTGGCCCAATGTCAGTTAAATACTGGAGTGCCCAATCATCACGGCTGTGGACTGGCCTCTGTGGTCCCCCACAGTCACATGTGGTTGACGTCCTTCTTGTCCGAGCTGGGGAAGGACGAGGGCTCCCAGCGTCCCAGCACCCCAGTCCTCATGCCCACTTGGCACTTCACAATGAGGTAGATTTTGCGTAGGACGGTGCGGCGCAGCAGTATGTAGACCCAGGGGTCCAGGATCTGGTTCCAAGTGGCCAGCCTCACTCCCATCACCATTAGGGTTTTATAGTTGGACAGGTCGTCACCAATGGATCCCATGTATGAGCGGAACACGGACATCAGGCCAAAGATCTGCAGAGGAGGGACATGTGAGAGTAATTATTTTAGCGTGAAAAGGTGAAAAAAAAAAAAAACGGCGGAAAAACTCTGGTCATAATTTAAAACGCTGACAGCGGCTAAACACTAATGCAGTTAGATTGTTGGCTTTGCTCCGCGCTGCCTGGTAGTTGAGCCAAACCTATGTTGGGCTTTACAGGGAGTGTGGTGCTGAAACCTCCCTGCAGCAGAACAAACCTTAGGAAAACACAGTCCTCAGCCTCATTTATCAGAAGGCTGCAGCAGCTGCTGTGATCAGAGAGGAGCTACAACCAAAGAGCTGCCACTCTTACACACCAGAGGAGTGAACAATGAACTGCTGATTTAGTCTGTCCTTTTCTGGACAGTTGACTTATTGTTGGAACGGCGACAGAATGGTTTTTTGCTCTTCCTTTACACCAGTTTGAGCCCCGTAGGTAACTGATGGTCTTCCTGTATGGAGTTTGCAGGCTTTCCCTGTGTGTGCGTGGGATTTTGTTCAATCTTATTTGACCATAGGTGTGAATATGAGTGTGAAAAGGCAAACTTTAACGAGACTCCGAGGATCAAATCTACCCTGAGGTCACTCTAACAAAAACACATAAATATTCTTATGTGTAAAGTCAGCCTCCGTTCAGAGAGACGGTGAAAGATTGATGTCTGATTTTCACATGATTCCAATATGGTTTTCATATCACATCATAGCAACTGTTTCACACTCATTTTTCCACCTTTGGCCGCTGTTTTCATCCAGAATGTCAAAACATTTTCCAACTCGGTCATTAGTGGAAAACTCTACCACCTGAGTAAACGTTGTTCAAATCAATTTTCTTCTTCTCTGGACTACTCCCTTTCTCGAGGGTCACCACAACAGCAAATCTACATATACGTGTAATTTTGTATAATGATCACACGCTTTGACTGTTTGGCCCATTGGCACATAGACATACGGCCTGGGGTGAAACCTCGGATTTTCCAATTGGAAGAAAAGCCCCATGTACCCACTGATCCACAGCTGCCCGCGGCTGATCTGGCCGTGAGTGTTCATCAGTAATGAGGTGAGCGCCGTCTGAATGAGACGCAGCTGCAGAGACCGACCAGGTGGACTGATCCTGTGCCCAGTGGGTGATGATGTCATGTGAAGCGGATCAGGTTTGTTTGGTAACTGATGCTGGGGATGAACCGCAGCTTCCTGTTGACTGTGGAAAACATTTTCCTGAACAATTATAATCTAAATATTTGGTATTATTATAAACCCACAGAAGTTTATTAGCATGGCTTTTGTGTTTATTAGTATTAAATCTTTCCATTGTGATGTCATTGGGGAGGTCCCTGTTTTGGAGTTTTTTCTTTTAAAAAAAGGATAGAGATTAATGTTTGTCTCCTCTGTCAAAAGCACTTCCAGAGTCTGGCCTCATGGATTTTTTCCATATTTCATTCCATTCCATATGTTTTCAATGCATTTAAAATTATTTTCACAGCAACTTGATAGACCATAGCAACAGCCTTTAGTTTAAAACTTTCCATTGGCTAGCATTTAGCCATCTAATATTTTAGCTCTCTGCTGTATTTCATATTGAGTATACCTATTTATGCTAAGTTTTGTTTTTTTCTTTAGCTTACAGTACCTTTTTTGGGCTTACAACAATAGCAATTACTAGCGATTTTACTTGCATTGTTATTTATGCTAAATAACCATTTTAGCCACTGGTGACCCATTCTTTAGTTATAAATATTATCATTTTATGTTTAAAGTTGCTTTTATAAATGATTATTTTTACTGAGTCATTATTGAAAAAAGTGAGTAACTGTGTGGTTAAAATGTGACCACAGCTAAAAGAAATGAATTTCATCACATCGCCAGTTAAGAAAATGCATTTTTGGCAAAAAAAAAAAAATAAAAAAATAAAAATTGTCTGCCACATAGTCTCAGTTTTTTGCATCACAGGAGTTTGACTGAGAAAAATTGTGTTTACTCATTGAGCCCACCAAAAAAAAATGTCTGGACAACTGTGTTTTAGATCCAACCACTTCAGAAAACAATTCCATGAATCTGTGACCAATTTTCTTATTTTGACTTATTGTCATTTTGCTAAAAAACAAAAACTCACAGAAGAGACTTTTTCCACAGAACTGGTCCAGATAATGAAAGTTAAATTAGTGACGCCATCCTTCCTGTCATAAGAAACACCTGCACTTGTCCAACTATGCCTCACTCAACCATCTGGTTAAAATGGCCCTCATTACTAATTTCCACACAAAGTGAGCAGTAAAAACTCTCAAAGACTCCAGGCAGGTGTTTTCAATTATCCTGCCCTTTTTTTATTTCTTACAGTTTGTAAAAAAATATTAATACGTGTCTGCATGTGCTTCTCGTCGTCGCTCACTTGTTATTACAGTAATTACCTTCATCTGTGGCTCAAACTATACTCCAACTGGGCCCTGAACCTGAGAGAAAAAGGGCCTTTAAAAGACCTTCAACATGAGGTTACAGAGGGTGGGGGCCTTACAGCAGCGGCCTGTACAAACAGCAGGATGAGAGGGATTAAAGTGAGCGTCTTTTACTGATAATAGACCCTAAGTGCTTATTTATTCCTATCAGAGTGCTTTCGTAGAGCTCTGCACCTTTTAAATGTCATTTTTATCTTGAGGTTTGGATTTCCTCTTTGTGTACTTCCTAAAACTCACCAGCAGAGGGCTCCAGCAGATGCAGGAGGTGACCATGATGCCCACCAGCTGCACCACCATCTCTATGTCGTGGGACTTAGCAGAGCGATGGGAGCCGGGTTTCCTCCTGAGCCGAGCGAGCACCAGTGTCAGACCACTGATGGTGTTGCAGACTAAAGCCACAGCCAGTGAGGTCAGACCCAGGCCAGAGAACATCACCACGAAGGCCACGTCCACCTCCTCAGTGTCACTCAGCACTTTGATGAAACACCAAGTGCCCGGGTCCTGGTAGGCGTAAGAGCCCAGATGAAAGCAGGGCAGCATGGCCACGCACAGCGCCGCCAGCCAGATGACGGACAGGCAGATCTTGGTGCGGGTTTTGGTGACCAGGGATGAGTGCAGCAGAGGCCTGGTGACGCCCAGGCAGCGCTCGGCCGCCATGGCGCAGCACAGGAAGCGCGGACACAGGCCGAAGAAGAGCATGCTG